GTGTTCCTCGTTTATTCTGCCAACCACGGCAGAACGAACGAGGAACACGCTACAAATTATTGCGTAGTTGCCAAGTCTTCAAACATGGCAAATATGAAAAATGAAAAATAGTTTAATATGTACAGAATTTAACAATATTGTATGCATAACTTAATAATACTATCCTATAATAATAATTTTCACAATTGTGATGAAAATTGCGATAAAAATATTAAGTACATTTCCAGTATAATTATACACTAACAACAATGATACAATTAGACTGTGAATAGACCAGGCTTCATCTAGAAATGTAAATAAATAAGTCCCCTTTATTTAAATGTCCTTGACAGGAGCTAATTTTTATTCCGATGGTACTTGGTATCCACATTCTACCATAAAAGAAAAACAAAGCTCTGTAAATATGTACAAATTAAAAATAGAAACAAAATATGAACTCTACGAACTGTTTTATTATACAAATCAACTACAATAATATTAGTTCAGACAATCATTTAAAAATTATGAATAAATAATAAATATGAATATTTAGAAAATTGAATTTCTACATATATTCAGTATCTAATATTTACTCTTTTAATACAAACATCCTTTATATTTTTATTTGTTTACAGCGCTTCATCCGTTGATTACACCGAATTTGTATTCCGTAACCCACTCTATAAATTAATACTTATTGTTCGCCGTACTTGATATTTTCGTATCAACGGCCGTGAGTTATATTTTCGTTAATTTTTCATTACATCCTGTTCGAGGAAGTCCAGGAAATGCCTCTTTAGGCAGCTACGCACTGGATATTTTGGCATCCCAGGAAGTAAACAACATCACAACGTTGCGACATCTTTCGCAAAGCAACTCCATAGCGCGATCAGGCGGACGGTCACATAGTGCACCTGCAGAGCTGCTCCGCGGCACGTCCGCAAGCCGTCGACGACGCGAGGCGACGAAGGACAAGGACGAGCGGACCCCAAATGTCACGGCTCGGATGAGAATCGTACGCGTACGGAACGCTGATGCCGATTGATTGGGATTTGGTCGATTTGCGTCAGAAAACAAATTTCTCGAATCCGTAGTAGTATTTGAACTTAATTTTCACTTCTAGGAGCGTCTTCAAAAAATTAATTTATCTTTTGTTGTTTAAGTTGTCTTGACAACGTAATATCATACGGAGGGAGAATTATAGCAAAAAGAGGATATGTCTATATAGGTACACCAGGAAAATTAGCAAAAATAAAAGAGAAACTCGAAAAAAGTCCTATCCTCGATATTATTGTAAAATGTCTAAACTAAAGGAACATAATACAAAACATCTCTCATCTCGTGAGTCAAAAACTTTTATCAGCTAACTTTCCTATTTAAACAAATAAGTGAGGAAAACAGTTTTTTCACTTTGCAGGGAAAACCATAAATTTTAGCGAAAAGTGACTCACAGACAGCTTGTAGGGAGCAAAATTATCTACAAAATGAGACGTGTTAAATTAAAATCGGTTAATAAACAAAAACGTTATTGCAAAAAACAAGAAAAGTAAGTGCCCATTTTTTAATTTGTTTATAACTATCGCATTTATTGTTAAAATTTTATAAAACCTATGACAAGTTGAGGGTTTTGTCATACTTTAAAAGTGTGCCAAAAGTGGACGCTGTAGGTGCAACAGTTTTCGCACAATTCTATTTGTTTATAACGGAGGCTCCAAAAGTTATGAACTTTAAGCCTCTGTACAGGCGTTAATTTTCAACCTAACATGATTCTGAAAGCGTCGTTGTAATCTTAAAGACGTAATTAAGCGACCTATTAAAAAATATCACCGTTTTTTTGACATTAACATTCTCAAATTGTGCATTAAAAAACCGTGCGTTTTTCGCTTATAAACAATTTGAATAAAATTGTTGCTAGTTATGCTACCTCACCGAAAATAGATACAATGGATAGCTGGCAAAAAAATAAAGCACCCTCTACGACCGACAGAAGCCAAGATAAGAATTTTTTTTTAAATTGTAGCTCAATGGTTTATAAACATTAAGACTTGAATTTTTCGCAAAATAAAGTTCACGATGTAAACTACGATTTCCCGTGAATTGCATTGAAAATGTGGAAAATTAACGACTCACGAGCCCTTTAAAGAGAAGATACTTGCTAAGTAAACTGTCCGACGGCCGGCGGCGTGGTGGTGGGGGAAGTTCGTCAAAGCAAGTCGCGCACGCGAAAAAAGTGAAATCCAAAGTTCAAATTGATGTGCGCTGTAAACTGTAAACAGCAACTGATTTTCACTATCAACTTCGTGTTCTTTTCCTTTCGTCTTCTTTAATTTATTTAACTTTTTCTTATACAATCTTCTTTTTCTGTTTTGACAATTCTATATCATCTCTCCTGTCTTATTTATTTATTTATTTTTTTTTCTGTCTCCTTGATTACCACTGCACTGCACTCTTATTTTTAAATACAATTTTTTTTATCCTTATCTTTTCTTATCCTTTTTAATTTAACCAATCAGATTACTTTTTAATTTTATATTTCCAATTTAACATTTGCAATACTACTTAATCTTTATTTTGCTATATAGTACCCTTTATAATTTAGATTGATATTTCATCAAAATTTATATTTTACTTTAAATTGTCATTTTGCATCTAATTGTCATCTTAATTTCAAATCTATTGCTTAACTCTTACATTGTCATTCTCTGACATTAATCTATTTTCATCCTAATACTGAAACTTAAACTTTTGATTCATCTCAATATACAGAATGTCTCGTTCATATTTCAAAAAAACTTGTGTGCAAGTTCCTCTTGGTAAAATAATGACGCCCTGTTTTCGAGATACAGTGTGTTGAAGTTGGAATACGAGTAAACATCAACTGTGCGTTAAGAATAATGTGCAAACGGTTTCTTTCTGAAAAGCAGTGTCGCCGATACAAGTAATTGAAGGGGTACAATAAAAAAAAATATGATAAAAATAAAAATTTATTACATTTCTAAACGGTCCTGTAAACTCTAAAGCATACTGCAAAAAGAAGGCATACTTGTCGAAATTCCGTAGCATGTACCATTTTCGAGAAAAATTAAGTTGCATTTTTTTTGCTAACATAAGCGGCATAACAAAATATTAAATTGAAAGAGGACTTTACCATTGAATGGGCTGAAGACATTTAGCTACCAACATAGGTATTTGCATTTAGGACTACAATTTTAATTTCTTACGAATCACATTAAACAGTTAAATTGTAAATCATTTTATTAACTAAACAAAAAATAAATTTATTTTAAGTTTCAAATTGTTGTAGGTATCTAAAAAAGTAAATCAAAATCAGGAAACGCCATATTTCCTTTCAAGACCACAATTCATAGTTTTTTATATTGTCTTTTATTTTCTAACACTTAATTTGTCCTTAATTTTATAGTACCTTATAGAATAATATATACATACACTCGAACAATCATTTTACACCACAACAAAATAAATCACGTAATACGACGCCAATGCTCCACGCTCGGGATAACAAACGACAAATAGGCTCATAAAATGGCTAAAATGCTTTTGTAACTACGCCACTTTGTTCGCATACTAAAAGTGGGGGGTGCGTGCACCGATCTGCGCGAATACCCCCACCACGCCAACTTGTAATTGTATTATCAATAGAGAGCGGACAATGTGTGACTTTAACCCGAAGAATAGGTCAAATTTTGGTAGAGATGTGTACGCGTTCAAAAATGTATTGTGTATAAACTATGCAAAATATAATTATTATGTATAACAAATATATCATACTATCCTCGCGAAGATTTGTACCCTTTATTTAAAATGCATAAATCTTGTGAACAGGTTAAATAACGAGAAAATAATTAAGTTAANCGTGACAGAATGCTTGGACTATAAGTAAACTGTCCGACGACCGGCGGCGTGGTGGTGGGGGAAGTTCGTCAAAGCAAGTCGCGCACGCGAAAAAAGTTCAAATTGATGCGCGCTGTAAATTTTGCAATATCTCGGCTTCTATTCATCGTAGAAACTTCTTTTTTTTTTTAAACTGGGGTAGCTCGACAAAAAAATAACAAGGGGCATATTTACGAATTCGTAGAATAGCCCTGAACCCCAGAAAAAATGCATCTTTTTTTAATTTACAAATATGTCACAAAAATTATTGTTAAACGAAATATTAATTAAAATTTCAATTTCGGAATTATTTTACTATTATTAAATAAATAAATGAAGCTANAACTGTGCTCTCACTATTTAATATTTCTGACAAATAAATATTCGCACCGATATCACAAAATTAAAGTTAAAAAAATAATCATGGGCGAATACACGATAGAAAACTTACAGGAAGTGCTAAGTGGATGCATTAAGAAAAGTCAAAGTATTTCGGACAAGAAGATTACGAGACTGACTGCTCCCGGAGAAAACTACGGTAGTACAATGTTGAAGTTGGACGTAACACTAAAGGACGAAAATGATGGTACGGAAGAGGAACTACATGTTGTGGCTAAGATGATCCCTGAACAGGAATTCTTTAGGAAGGCGTTCAATATTCAAGTGACTTTCAAGAATGAAATTGCTATGTATAATATCATAGCACCCACACTTCGAGATTTCCAACGAGAGAACGGTGTTAACGAAGTAATTGACTGTTTCCCAGAGTTTTACGGTGCTAGGTTGAATCTGGGAGAACAAAATGGTAATGTGGATGAGGATGCGGTGCTGATATTAGAAAATTTGAAGTTTAAAGGTATGGTGCGTTACATTTTTGTAAGTGTACAGTTACAATTATTCCTAGAAAAACATAGAATAAGGAAAAACGATAAATGAATAAAATGTACAGGAATTGTATGTATGTAAAATGTACACACTTCTATCTCTAGATAGTTTAAACGCGCGTAAGATTTAAGTTTCATAAAACCTCTTTACCTATTGTATTTTAAACGATATGTAAATCGGTAAATACATATAGTGAAATATATTCTCGTATCTAGCATATTTAAGCTATTTAGAACGTTTGTGGATTTTTCATAAAACAAACACAATTTAATCAATTCAAATATTTCTAAAATCGCTAAAATTAATGTATAACAATATATCTAATCTAATGCGAGGTACTTATATTTACAGTAATTGGTATGTCGATTAGCTGAAGTACGTATTATCGAAATTTTAAAGTTCTGATGCACCACCGGGTGCTATTACGTCAGACGAAAAGTTCCACGTACATTTAGAAACATTTTTGCCTTGCCATCTAGGACAGCATTGTTTATTAGAAAAGACACACACACACACAGACACTCACAGACACACTCAGAGACATACAGAGACACATAGAGACACACGGAGACACAGACAGACACACACAGACAGGCACAGACACAGATACAGGCTCACGCACACACACGCACGCACGCACACACGTACAGACACACAGACACAGGCACACACGCACGCACGCACACCAACATACACACCCACACCCCCACATCCACTACTACCCCATGACCAGAGTCGCCGACGAAAAGAAAGTTTTAAGTTTGGTCTGTGGTTTTTTTAAGTGACAATGCAAGAAACAACCATTCTACACGGTATATATCCCGACCAGCATTGAATTACACCAGTAATATCATTAAATTCAGTTAGTATTATTTGCCGGTAGAACACTCTAGACATATAGCGGTTTCGGATTTGTTAGTCCTCATCACTATGCTGCCGACGAACAATCCAGCTGCTTAGATTTCTTAAATCCAGTAAATAGGAGTAGATTAGTTGCTTCTTGCAATATCATCACCCAATATTTGATATTATATCGAAATTCGACAAATGATTGAGATGAGAGAAGTGTGTATTTACCTTATTCTATATACTTAAACAGTTAAAAGTTCTTTGGTACTTTTTCTTAGAAGAAAGGAGTAAATTCAGTGGCGGTTTTACCATGAGAGCTGCGGAGCTGCAGAACACATAAAATTTCATGTATTTAATCATATTAAATATCAACAAAACATTTAAAGAATCTAAATGTACTCGCGCTAAAATAAATCTAGGAGCTTACATTATTATTTATTACGACGCGAGCTACGCTCCTTAATATATGCAACCTCATATACAAAATGTGTGCACAGCGAACGATTAGATGCGTCCTTTGTTTTTATTGGCTAATCAGGCACGTGACCCAGTACACTTTTATATGGGCTTTTGTGGCTGCAACAACGACAGCCACTGCTGCAGTAAATGCAGTAATATTTCGTACGTGGTATGTGCGGCGAGCGGCACATGTGAATATTTTCGTTTATTCGTCTACGGATATTATAGTTATTAAAATGAATAGCGTTTCGTTTAAAAAAAAACTTTATTTGGTTCTATGCCTTATGAGGATAAACTAAAATTAAAAGAATTAGGTGGGCCAACACAAGTTAGTGGAACAAGCCGAAGTAAAAGTTATAAAAGACAATTTAACAATAATGTATACACAAAAGCATCTATTTTTTTTTAAAGAGAACAAGTTAAACAAATTAAAAGTTCTTTGGTACTTTTTCTTATAAAGATGAAGTAGGTACATTTTTATTTTTTTTTAAATCTTGCATTATTATTATTACCTTGACTCCTTCGAAAGTTAAACCAAATCGAGTAAACTCCTTCGCACCGTATTCAAATAAAAATAGTGTGATTGATCAAATTATTATTTACAACTTACAGATTACACATAAAATATGCAATAAGGTGGGCATAAAATTGCATTTATTTCTAATTATTTTAAATTTTCTAAAAATAAATATTATGTATTTCCTTTTTGACATACCCACATTTTTTGGACATCTACTTAATCTAATTCAATGACATTTTTTTCAGGTTATCAATGCGTAGATCACCACGTAAGCTTTGACCTAGAGACGACCCAGTTAATACTCAAAGACTTGGCAGCTTTCCATGCCATACCAATTGCTCTGAAGCTGAAGAAACCAGAAGTATTCAATGAGAAAATCAGACCGTACTTGGCCCCGTTCCCTTTCCAGCCTAAGCCAATTAAAGAAGAAATCAAGTCAGTCTTCTTAGAGATGCTTCAAGATTCATACAAATGTATACCCTGGATACCAAAAGTTAAAAACATTTTCGAGAACGTAAGAGAAGCAGGAGATGCACCACCAAAGGAACCATTCGCGACGGTAACTCACGGAGATATGTGGTTCAATAACACTATGATAAAATTTCAGAACAAGGTACCTGTTAGCAACAAGATTATTGACTTTCAAAACTGCGACTATAAATCACCAGCCACAGACCTGTTCTTTTTTCTTTTCACAAATGTGCAGACGTCTGTACTACAAGACGATTTCGACGGTTTGATCGAATTTTATCACAAACACTTCATTTCCCATTTGGAGAAGTTGAAATGCGACACTGCTCCTTTTAGTTTACCCAAGTTTTTAGAAGAAATGAAAGCTGCGACGCCAGTTGAACTCGGGCATTGTTTTATGATGATATTTTTGAATTTTGGGGAAGAGCAGTTCGATCACTCATCATCTGATGTGGATAAAATAAAAGCAAGGATACACTTGGCTATGAAAGATAAATTAAGGAATGTAATCCATACAAGCGGCATGAGAGGATGGCTGTAATGAAATGTTATCTATTTAAAATTTATGTATAGGGTGGTATTCGATATTATCTTAAGGGGGCGATTTAGTATGTATATTTTTACCGTGTAACAGAGCTTCAGATGAGGACACAAATCATCGAAGAAACTAACATAATTGAATATTGTTATATATTAATGTATTCGCAATGGTTCCCGCTAGTGAGTGAGATAAATTTCAATGCTCATGAGAACAGAAGAATAATTTAAATAAATGCCAAAGTACCTCAATTTTAACCATACTGTTAGTCTG